AAGTAAGAAGGCGCGGCGCGTGTCCGCGTGTGTAAGTGGCTTCTGCTTGTCCGCAGAGGAACAGCAGCATCCCCAACGGGAAGCTGCCCACGGAGAGCCTGGCGCACAGCTTCCCCCTCGGCGACAAAGGTGCGGCGGGGGCGCGGCTGTCCTCCGGGGACCCTCCCCTCGCACTTGTCCTCCTCGTGCTGGCGGACAGCACCTCAGAGACGCTCCATGGCCCCTTGTCCCATGTCCTCACCATGACTGGGCCACAAGAGAGCTGCCCCTCCCAGCAAGGGTCCCGCCACCCACCACAGAACGCCGGGCATGGCTGAGTGAGCTGAGGAGCTGCCCGGGGCGACTCTGCCAGCCTGCCCCCGCGCGGCCGTCCTCGGGGCTGCCCAGATGCTGCTGGGTCAGGGTGGCCACAGTGACAGCCCCTCAGGGTGCACTTGGAGCAGGTGGGGGGCGTTGGAGCCAGCCTGTTTCCCTTGCGTATCCCCCAAAACCAGATTTAGAACTTTCAGACCCCGAGGAAGCCCCCAACTACGACGCTGAGGAGACCAATGGCGGGATCGAGTTCCTGGCAAACGTCACCAAGGACACAGCGTCGGACTCCCCCACGGGTGAGCGGTGGGGACGGTGACCCTCGGCAGGGTGGGGGGAGTCGCCTGCTGCGCGTGGGTGGGGGGCCTCTGACCTGACAGGCACGTGACCCTGACCTTCCGGGCGACCCTGCAGCAGCCCCCTCGCGCCCTCCCCCGCCGCTCTGACCGGCCCTGTCCTTTCTCCTAGGGATTGACAACCCTGTCTTTTCTCCGGACGAGGACCCCACCCCGAGCATCCTGGCCCGGGCGCCGCCCTGGCTGTGTCCCGGGGAGGCCGTGGTGCCCTCGCAGCGGGCCCGCGTGCAGATCCCCCACTCTCCCGGCCACCTCCGCCGCCTGGCGCCCTTCCGCCTCAGCAGCTCGTCGGCGGACTCCGTCCCGCCGCCCGCGGGCCCCGAGGAGCCGCCCCAGCCCGGGCCCCGCGACTCCACGCACATGTAATGCCCGGGCCGCCGCCGCTAACGCCGCTCTCTCCGCAGCTCCTCCCGCAGGTCCCCGGCCCGGGCTCCGCGACCCTCCAGAGCGTCCCCACCGCAGCCTCTGAGGAGGGCCGGTCACGTCTCACGAGCCTTGCTTTCAGGTGGCTCGAGTCACCGCGATCCGCTCCGGCCGGGGCTAGGCCGTGGATGTGGCGCCCGCACCCCGCGGGTGTCGCGTCGTTTCCAACGAGCCCGAGGGGCGTTTATCCCCCAGCCGAGGAGCCGCGGGCCGGGCAGGGCCTCTCCGTGCCGGCGCCGCCTTCTCCCTGCCCTGTGGGCGCTTCTGCCCGTCCCTGCTCCTGCCTCGGGGCCGCGTCCCTTGTCCCCCCCTCCCGCCCTCCTCTGTTCTCACCCTTGAATCCCAGGTGTCCTGTGCCCGGGGGGGCGGCCTGGCGGGGCGGCCCCGGGGGCGGCCCGGGCAGGCGGG